CGCTCGCGGGGCAGCAGCGCCTCGGCACAGGGGGCGTAGCCGGGGGGCGGCACGAAACGGAACTCGCCGTGACGACCCCCCAGGAGGAAGCGGATTCTGGGGATGGGGGGGGACAGCCGGAGTGACCCCCCGGACCCATAGAACCCACACAGGGACCCCCAGACCCATAAAAACCACACAGGGACCCCCAGACCCATAGAACCCACACAGGGACCCTCAGAACCCACACAGAGCCATAGAACCCACACAGGGACCCCCAGACCCATAGAACCCACACAGGGACACCCGGACTCATAGAACCCACAGAGAACTGGCCCAGACCCATAGAACCCACACAGAGCCATAGAACCCCCACAGGGACCCCCGGACCCATAGAACCCACACAGAGCCATAGAACCCACACAGGGACCCCCGGACCCATAGAACCCACAGAGAACTGCCCCAGACCCATAGAACCCACACAGAGCCATAGAACCCCCACAGGGACCCCCAGAGTGACCCCCAGACCCATAGAACACCCACCGGGACCCCCAGACCCATAGAAACCCCCCAGGAGGAAGCGGATCCTGGGGAGGGGGGACACCTGGAGTGATCCCCGGACCCATAGAACCCCCACAGGGACCTCCAGAGTGACCCCCAGACCCATAGAACCCCCCCAGACCCACTCAGTCCCCTCCTTTGGGGGTCCCAGCATCCCCTTAGGTGTCCCACCCCCCAATTTTGGGGTCCCAGCCCCTCAGTTTCGGAGTGTCCCCCCTCACCGGACCCCTGCAGAGAAGCTGCCCACGGGGGTGACCCCCCCAAGACTTCCCAAATCCCCCAAATCCCCTCCTTTGGGGGGCCCAGCTCCCATTTTAGGGGTCCCAGAATCCACTTTTGGGGTCCCACCCCCCCATTTTCGGGGTGTCCCCCCTCACCGGACCCCTGCAGAGAAGCTGGCCACGGGGGTGAAGAGGGTGTCGAGGTTGAAGCCCTCCAGGACCCCCTGCACGGGGGCCCCGTTGAGGCGGAAGGAGGCGCTGGGGACCCCCAGGTCCAGGCAGCAGCTGACAACGTCCCCCCCGGCCAGGGCCCGGCGATGGGGGGAGGCCACGGCCTTGGGGACACCCCCTGGGGGGGACAGGGGGGTCAGGGGGGGTGACAGGGACAGGGGACACCCCCTGGGGGGGAGG